TACTAACTATTGCAACAGCAGCACTTTCAAAATTTGCGAGGCAGCTTTAAGGTTAGCTTGTTTTCGTTAAACTGCAGCTTTTGCTCGGAATTTTCTTGTTTTTGTGTTATGTAGGTGCTTTGAGCCTAAAAAAATCAAGTCATTCTTAGATTTTGGAAAAACAATCAAATCAAAAGCATTTAGTTTCTTTTAGGCACTCATTTTCTGAGAGCTCTAGAAATGGCAAGGTTATTGTATGCCAGAAAGTTTCACGATACCGAAGTCCTGAACAAGCAGCTCAGAGAAAAGCAGCTTGATTCCAGAGAAGAGTTGGAAATGACTGCGCACGATTGCTACGTCCCAAGGATTTTTTGATGTCTCGCACACAGAAGCCTCTGATCACTCGATTCAAAGAACGGATCGGTGGGTCGAACAATATCTGATTCCTCATCTGTGATTAGTTGTTGATAAGCAGTGAAATGATTTCTGCAGAAATCGTCGGCTTTGATGAACTTTGCTTGTGTAATAGCCTCAGTCAGCACGGAGACGAGTCAGTTTGAACTGGGAAGTACGAATTCTGATAGTAGAAGTGCAAACGAATAGTCATGCTGATAATATTTGGTCATTACATAGTAAGCTTTGAACTCGAGTAATACTGCTGATACTGCCAGCATCTCTCACAGCAGTCAATAGTGATAAAAGCCGTCTCCCAGTAAAGGTCAGACCAGTGCAAAATGTCGTCTTTCACGGCAAAAACGAACAGGGCAAATGTTTGTTGCGGATTCCGCAGACGTTATCCGCTCCCATGCATGTATCGTATAAACGTCTGGACCTTTTTCCGTAATATTCATGCAAAAAAAATCTCGTTTAGGAATATCTACCTAGAAGTCATTTTATTCTTCGTAGACATTGTAGGCCAAATAAAACAGAAATTGAACGGCCTTAGTAGTAGACAAATTCATCTCACGTAGGCAAATCGTTCCCAGAAAAAAGAAGTCATAGAATGATATTCTGCAGCTTTTAATCATTCGTCTAAATTTTATATTTTCATCAGATAGCTGTAGGCGTCCCTCTTCTGTGGACTTCCTGACAAGGCCCAGAAGAATTTCTTCTAAGAAAAGACGCAGACGGTGTTAAAAATGATCTGTAAGATTTGAACAGCTTTCTCAAGCTAGAGACTTAAATTTTCCGATAATTCGTACACAGCTGTGGAACGACAGTGATATGACATTTTTACCTCGTCACAACCAAAAGATTATGTCAACTGAGTCTTAAGTCAAGCAAATTACAAGCTGATTTGTGCAGTGCCAGGTGTAGTTCTGTAGGATATTAGATAAATTGACTTGACAATCTATGCGAATATGTTATAGGGTCCTTTCCATCACTCGCGCAAAAAAAGCAATTTTATTTAGAATTTTGGCACATTGCGCACTGTATCTGTCTATCTCGGAAGAGCTTTTTTCCTAACTCTCCTGAAACGCCTTCGTTCATTTACAATTTACTACTCTCATAAACCAGAGGCTGTAGTCTATTAAATTTTCAGGGTTCTATCCTGAACATCATCACAACTTCAGCAGAAAAATTCGAAAATTGTAACTGTTTGCGGAGACTTTCAGTCAACAAGATCCCCACTACTGTTATGGAAAATAAACTGAAACTT